AGGAGGAGGAGAAGGAGGAGGAGGTAAGCGGAAGAAGAAGAGGAGGCGGAGGACGAGAAGGAAGAGAAGGAAGAGGAAGCAGTGAGGAAGGAAGGAGAAGAGGTGGAGAGGAACGAGTACGAGAGCGAGAACGAAGAGGAAGAGGAGGAAGAGGAGGAGGAGGAGGAGGAGGAGGTGGTGGTCGGGGCGGAGGTGGAGGAGGAGGAAAGGGGTTGGGGCGGGAGGAGGAGGAGGGGAGGCGGGGAGGAGGAGGGGAGGTGGGGAGGAGGAGGAGGAGAGGTGGGGAGGAGGAGGAGCGGAAGAGAGGAGCGGAGAGAAAGGAGCGGCGATCGGCGGGACAGGTGGGCGAAGAAGAGATATCCCGCCGACCCGGCAAACATGACGCAGCAAAGCGGGGCTGGGTCGCCCCAGCAATTCTGCCTACGTTGGAACAATTATCAAACGAATCTGACCAACGTGTTCGACCAGCTGCTCCAAAGCGAGAGTTTCGTGGACGTGACCCTCGCCTGCGACGGGCACAGCGTTAAAGCGCACAAGATGGTGCTGTCCGCGTGCAGCCCCTACTTCCAGGCCCTGTTCTTCGACAATCCATGCCAACACCCGATCGTCATCATGAAGGATATCAAGTGGCCCGAGCTCAAGGCCGCGGTCGAGTTCATGTACAAGGGGGAGATAAACGTGTCCCAGGAGCAGATCGGCCCCCTCCTCAAAGTGGCCGAGAGCCTCAAGATACGGGGCCTGGCGGACGTGAACAACGAGCACGAGTTGACGTCTAGATCGAACCTCGAGGAGGCGGCCAACGCAGCGTTGCACAGGAAGAAGCGGCGCCGAATCTCGGGGGAGAGGTCGCCGCCCGCGTGCAGCCCCGACCGTATACCGTCGGGGGGGGATGGCCGACGACCAAGAGCCGAATCAGGTGGGGGGCGGCGTGATCGTGCCCGACATCCACGGCATGCTGCCCAGCAGCTCGACCCCGCGATCCCTCGGATCCCCGGGCACGCCCAACGTCTCCGTCACCCCGCAGATCAACCTCCAAGAACTTCCGGTATCGCTGCCCCTGCCGCCGCCGCCGCCGCCGCCCCCGCAGCCCGGCCAGCCGACCTCGCACTCGATATCCGTGCCTCACCACGTGCCTCCCCACGTGACTTCCGGTCCCCACGCGCCCGTCAACCACCTGACCGCCCATGGCCAGCAGCTCGTCGTGCAGCAGCAACAGCAGCAGCAACAGCAGCAGCAACACCACCCCCAGGCGGGACCTCTCGTCCCGCCTAATCCGGGGGACGATCTCGAGATCAAGCCTGGCATCGCCGAGATGATTCGCGAGGAGGAAAGGGTGAGTGACATCTCTCCATCTCTTTTCATTTTTTTCGAGAAAAAAAGAACGAAGGAAAAGCCTCGCCTCGTTCGTTTATATTTGTTTTATTAGAGATCGGAAGGATGGAAATATCGGATCGTTTGAACGTTTGGCGGCGAATCGAACCGCATGGGGCGCGCGAAATCGCGGCCCGCGCTCGACCGCCTCGCCGGTGAAACGACGAACGGCGGTGGGTGGGGAGGGACGCGTTCGTCGACGCAACAATCGAACGAGGGTAAACACGCGCGACAAAAACCGCGCGTAAACAACAACGAGAACGAGAACGAAGTTTATATTCGTTTCGAAATATATCTATATATCTATATATATATATATATAGTATCCATGTGGCGCGAACTTAAATCGGCAAGGGAATCGTACGTACTTTCTAAAACTTGTGACCGCTCGAGGCGATGGCCGGATCATTGGCGCGAGGAGGAGGGAGGGCGTCGCGCGAAAAATCGATGGGACGTGTCAAAGCGTTTTTCGAAAGTTGGTTAATTAGGTTTCGTGGGCGGTGGGGGAGGGGACGTTAACGAGATTCGCTTTAGCAGGGAAAGTTGTTCGTTGACGTTGTCGGATTCCGGAGGATGGACAAAGTCGGCGGAGGAAAAGGAGGAGGCGGCGATTTATAATTGGAGGATGGGAGGACGACAAGAAAAAGAAAAAAAGAGAAAAGAAAAAAAAAGGCGGACGACTAGACGACGACGAGGCTAGGCTATACGGGGCGAGAAATCGTAGGTTAGGGTCCGGCCAATTATTAACGAGCGTTGCGGAATGTTTTGCACCGAAACATCGGTCGTCTCTAACGCTTGGGGAAGACCAACCGCCGAGCCTTTTGCCGGGTGAGGTCCAATTACCCGGCGATCGGCTTCGACGGTGTGCACTAATTGAGAGTATCAATGAACGTCAATGAGCATAGTCAATATTTGGACGGGGAGCATTCGACCGTTTTGTAACGTTCTTTTTGTTAAAACGAATGACAAATATTGACTACGCGCTCGTTCGCGCATACGTGACACACACCGGGTATCGACTGTTCTCGTTAATTACATCGGGACGACGGTGTCTCCTGCATTATTTATCGTTCGCCACCGACGCAAGTTATTAAACGAACGGCTAGTGGTGGCCGACGCGCCTCGTTTCGCCTCTCGTTGTCGTCCACCAACCCTTGGCCGCCGATTCGTCCGTCCGTCGTTGTTTCCGGAGTCTTCGACCCTCGACACGTCGCCCCTTCGCTATCTATATATTTATATATGTGTGTGTGCGTGTGTGTGTGTATATATATAAACTGGAAAATTGTTGATATTTTTTTCCTCTCCACGAGAGAGAAAAATGTTCCTTTCAATTTATCGATTATCGAGCTCGAGATTTCTGTTTTTGCGAATTTTGCTCTTCCCCTCGTTTATCGAAATAAGTATTTATTCGCCGCGCTTCGAAACTTGGAAATCTCGACGAATCGTATCAAATGTGCCGGAATTATTGGATTACGCGACAATATCATCATCACGATGACGCTATTATGATCGTTTAAAAATAAAAATCCTCGTCCTCGAACGAAGGATCTCCACAGATCCATCTTGCTCCGATCGATTTCCGAGTGGAGAGGAAGATACGGGGAAGGGAAAATTCGATCGATCGTTGCGGGAGAAAGAAAAAAAGGAAATTGGTAAACATCGCGAGGGATCGACCGTTTGCTGAGCAAAGCGGAAAATTGAAGCGAGCGGTCGGTTGTCTGAGTATTATTTTTCTATCGTAAAGTATATATATATATATATATATATATATCGACATGGTGACGCAATCGGCTATGTATAATGGGTATAACATTCCGCGGAATTCCATTATGTTAACGCAACCACGTTCCAATTCTCCGGATATGCCTGCTCGTATCGTAATACGCTAGTATATCGCAACTATTCCGGCGAAACCTCTCCGATTAAAATGCCTAATTGATGCGGGCACACACACACACACACACACACACACATCTAATAGGGAAGGACCAACCCCTGTTTCGTTTCGAGGAGGCGATTGAGGCGCGAAAATTCATCCGAAAATTGACCGCGTAACAACAAACGCCTCTCTTCTTTATCCCGTACACACACACCGTTATGTGTATCGTGGCATCGAACGAAAAATACTGCTCCTCCTTCCCTCCTTCCCCTCCCTGGCCGGTGCCAGAACCGCGCCGCCACTCAAGGATGGATTATTAAAGATTTAGCCGCCGCAAAGGATCGTTCCAGCTGGATTTCCTTCGGATTAAACAGCCTTAATGAAACGAAATTTAAATATAAATTGTCTTTTAAACTCGTGCCTTCGACGGCCGGGAAAGAAATGTACGTAGCCGTTGCGAGGGAGGAAAAGGATCTTCGCGCCCAGATCCTTCCGGAATAATCGTCGGCCGCCGGTTACAAACACGAAGAGAGAAAGAAAGAAAAAAGGGAAGGCTGAACGCGATCACGCGGTCGGCGAAGCCTGTGAAAAGGCGGGTTGCAAAAAAATTTAATCTTCCCTCGCGTTATCCTTTTTTCTAGCGATAACACACCCCCCTCTCTCTCTCTCTCTCTTCCTT